GACAACCCGGATTGACACCTCTACAAACAGGGCCTTACTAAAGTACAAATAAGTCTTAACTTGCTAAAAAGTAATTTTTGAACATACAGCCAACATAATGAAGACCACAAATAGAAATTTCCAATTTCTAGAAGAAAAAATCCAGTGTATTTACTGTACATGAGGGAGCCAAGACGTTCTTATGGTAACTCCATTTTTCTCTAACAAATTCTACAGCCAAAAGCATTCCGAGACTCCATTCTTTGCACACGATCCTTGAGAATCCCACTGTACATCACATGATTTGCAGGAATTTCATCTTCTTTTCTGTGCAATTCACTATTCCCACTCGAATCTTTTACATTATCAGCAAATTGAACCCTCTTCTTCATCTTCTCCTTTTCCTTGCTACCTATAGAAAAACAATCCATGGGTATTCAGTAATATTAAGATTTTGAGGTTTGAGGTCAACCTGACTTTTGAGCTTTAATCAGACCGAATTATTCTGTTGAACTTAATTATCTAATGTTGATTAGTATTTTTATACTTAGCCAACGTGGGATTTACCGTAAACAATTATCCATCTAAATTCTAGTAATTAATCCAAGAAAACAAGAAAAGAAGAAATGAAGTTTTCTTGTACCTGAAGATAAACAAGACTTAAGAACTTGTTTATCAGTAGTTGAATCTTGATACCTTTCCAGGAAATGATCAAAGAGAATTATGGTAGCTGCAGAGAGAGCCGTGGCTGCGGCCAGAACCAAACCTAAACCTTGTGAGTTCAATATGGAGGACATAATTGGTGACTTGGTTTGTAAAATGCAACAAAAAATGGTGACATAGATTGGTATATATACTTGAGAACGTAGTGGATTGTTCAGCAATTGTTGGTAGAAAATTTAAATATAAAGTTCATTTTACTCATGGTCACTGTACTTTGCACTTAATGTCACTTTAGCTGCTGATCTTTAATTTGTGTTTGCTCATCGTTGAGCTTTATAAAATATTTCATATAGAGCATCAGCTAAGTTTGGCTTCTATTATTTAAAATGAACATTCTACGTGTTCGTGTCCTAAATCATCAAATTGTTACGATTTTCAATTAATTAGCATGTAGATATGTTGAATATTCATTTAGAAAATAAATGTCAAATGAGTTGGTGATTTGAATGAAATATTTTCAAAAGTTCATCTATGAATCTGAAACAAAATAGAGATGAGTGACCAAAGCGACACTAAATACAATTTTTTGTGGCCATTAGCAGAATTAGCCCTTTTGCATGTAGTATATTTGAGAATATAGTGGATTGTTAAGAATCCAGACTTTATTGCTTTTTTGACTGGAATTTTGTAAAGGAAAAGGGTGGAAGAGAAGTGTAAATGGACTTTTTTTAGGTGATAGGAATTGGACTTGCTTTTTTTATTTTGATGGTTCTTCGAAGGGGTGAGGAAAGAGATGGTGGTTGATTAGTCAATGTTTGAGTCTTTATTGGATGTCCAAAAGGTCGTATATTTGTGTGTATCAAGGTGAATATGTTACACGGAATCTTGTAGTAAGAGTCATCAAATCATCTTTGTTTGTTTGAATTGATTCGCCTAAAAATATAGTTGGAACTAATATTTTAGATTCAAGGAGTGGAAAGACCCATGAACCCCATTAATTTAACAAGCTGGGCTGTCCAGCTTACCATGTTCTAGATTGTGAAAAAAAGCTAGAAAAAAATAAAGATTTATTGTCATAATGGCACTTATAATTTTATTTTGTTGTTTGAATTTTTTAAATAAATCGGAATAGTTTGGCATGTCATCCTGGGTTGAAGAACGAGACAATCAGGTCATGTTTCATTCACCTGGTTTCAAATACTTTAATGTGCATGAGACAAATAAACAGTATGGTCTTTATCTTAATATCGTTTATATTTCAATTTTCTATTTTGAGAGTCTGTTTTAAAAAAATTTTAAATGTGTTTGTTTTGTCATTTC